TACGGTGAGAACGAATTGGATAAATGTATATAATTAATACGAATTTCTAAAATTATCAAGACACGTAATATTTCACCTTCGTTCTTGAGAGAACATTTTCTCTGCAGATCAGACATTTTTTAACTCTTGGTGCACAAGCGTTACAGCAAGCTACATGCCCGCAGGGGCTGAAAAGCATTTCACGTTTTCCATCGGAGCAGACCAAACACTCGTCGATTGTTGCCGATGGAGCTGCCGGTTCGATATCGTGCCTGGAATTATAATTGTGTATGTACGAAAGTTGTGTTTTAAAAATATATCTATAATCAAATCGTTAATGAATGCTGTAGTCAAATAATACGATTTATTTCTGCATTTCTGTCAGAGATTTCACACGGGGAAAAGTATTTCTTAAAATCCACGGAATCACGGATGGTAGCAACGTTGGGAAAAATCTCACTTTGTATGCCTGTATTTGAAATTTCTCAATGAACCGCGACACCACAACAGTTTCGCCAGCATGGCTACAGTGATGAGATAAAATGCAATTACTAACGATTCCCTGTCTTTGTGGCAAGTGGTTAGTGTTTTGCAGAGATTCGGATCCGGGCAGAGGTCGAGCGGAGTCTGTCCCTTCTTGTTCTTCAGTTCGAGATCAGCCCCGTGGGCAGCGAGGAAGCAAGCAATGAATGAGCTACTCTTCTTGTCCTGTCCTTGCGCGCCCAAGCCCATCAGGAGACGTCCTACGTCCTGGACATCCTGCAGCTGTCGCAGCTGCGACAAAGTGTGATATCTCAAGGCTTCGTGAAGAGGCGTGTCGCCGTCCTTGTCTGCCACATTCAAGTTAGCGCCCTCGCGTACCAGCAGCTACAACAGGATTTACGAGCCGCGTTTAATTATCGAACCGCACCGTCGCGAAATTAATCTGTCGGCTCAAGAACATTTTCATTCACGTATGAACTGGCGTGTTTCGAATTGTTCGACCGAATTCTCACCTCCCTCTGATTTCCTCTATTTCACGAGCAGGCTAGACGCGCGAAAATATGGTACAAACGGGGCAAGTAGTTACGCTACCAATCCTCAAACGATTTGTAATCGAACGAATTTTGACTTGAAATATTCATTTCTATCAGGTGCACTTTATTTCTTATTTCTACTTTGCAATGTTTTTTAACTTGTTTAATAGCAGGTGGAGTGTAAATTATAGTATAAAGAAATAAAGATCACAAAATTATAAATTAACCGTGTTTAATCAATTTTTTGTCACTTTGAGGATTGGTAGTTTTTTGAAAATACTGAACCGTCACAGATGATTTCTGTGAAATACTGTCAATTCCAGTGTTAACCCTTTGACTGTTTAGTCCGTATCATAGTATCATAAATATAGTCTAAAATATTTACAATACGTCGAAAGGTGGATGTATTTTAATTTGTTACATCCTTCTCATTAAATATTAAACTTCTAGGTTTTTGATAATTTTAGCTACTTAAGTCAGAGATTTACAGTGCAATGTAAAATCAAGTGTTAGATTCTAAACGCAAAAGTTGATATGTACAAATATTAATGTAAAAGTGATTTACGCTATTTAATAAACTATATTAAATTGTATTCACATCTATTTAATATTATTTAATGTATTTACATAATATTTATTCTGATATTTATTTTGATCAAAATTTGACTTATATATTCCTCTATCCACCAAAGAATATATCCCACATATTTATAGAGAATTACACGGGGCAAATCTGATCTGTGTTAACACTTTTATTCGTCAGTGTATATAAAACATTAAATCATCGTTCAATAAAGTTATCTCAGGTCGAGCAAGAGAAAGCTCTTATTGAGGAAGATACTTCGAATGAAATTGAGATTAATGCTCGGAACGTGTTTTTTGGAAAATGTCGGAAATGTTCAGTGATTCGTTTGTGGAGCATTGGATCGGAAGTGAGGGATTTCTTTTCGACGGTGAAACAAACGTGCTACGTACACGAACAATCTGCGTGTGTTGTCGTTCGACAGCGAGATGCAACGCGGTCTGCAAATTAACGTTTTGCAGATCCAGGTCAGCTTTTCCAGCACGTGCCAGCTGTTCAGCAACTTCGACGTGATTGTTCAGAGCAGCCAGATGAAGGGCCGTGTAACCGTCGTCCTTTTTCTCGTCAACTATCCATGGTCTCGGAAGTTTCGAGAGCAGTACCCGCATTGCGCTGCAATCACAAGAAAAATACCACGTTTAGTGTATGACTGACAAACGATAATTTGAACGGGAGAGAAGTTCTTCGTTCGCTTCCATTCGAATTTTAAGATGAAAATTTTGTAAAAATTTTTTAATCCTTTATATTGTAATTTTCATTCTTTTGTTATTTAATCCTGATACGAGTGAAATTTCATCCCACTCGAATTTTCTCTCGACATGATATTTTCATCATTGCAACAGCAATTCTCCTTCTTTCTTGATCTTACTGATTTCCAAAATCAACAATGCGAAATGTAATTTCTTTCGATACATTATATGTTTTCATTTACGTTAACATAAAAATTGTTAATAAATAGAATTCATATTTTTATGTTGCAATAAATTGGATGTTTTACACGAATTTAAATGACATCGCGTCAATTAGTTTCAACTAAATTATTTCCTACGATTAATCATTATTTGACTTGTAATTTGCATATACAATGCATGTATTTATATTTCATATATTATCACTATTATTACTATGTAGTACATTATATTAATTCTTTTTACCTAGGAAATTATTTCTGAAGAAAGGAAATTGGATAAAATTCACCTTCACGAAAAGGAAAAAGATCAACTCAATGACCATTGTGCTCGTTTGGTGATGAAAAAAGTTTGAAGCACGCGCGATTGAAGCAAGAAATGGTGATTTTCTATTCGCAAGTTCAAAACGGATTTGTTATCAAAGGATGGGGCAATCAATTACATTGTTTGGCAAACGTTTGTAATTCGATGCCGATATTATTGCTACGTATTAGTGTCTCGCATCGTGCAGTTAACCGATGATAAATCGCGCGAAATCAAACAGATATTCGTCGTCTGCGGATTTTCGCCGCTGTCGATGCGAATAGTTAGTTTGCGCAGAAATCAACTGAAATCCTTTCGGTTTATAGCCACGGCATCATTAACAGACGCGGTTGTCGATTAACAAATCCTGTAAACTCTGCCTGGTAATGACGTTGTTCGTAGATTATTTAGTAACAGATGTTTACGATGATACGCCCACGTTCCCGTGTATTCCATGCAGACATATCATTACATTCGAATTGTGAAATTGTCAATAAAACTCTTGAAATTTATTCGTCTTTTTTTCAAATTCTATTTCATTCGTCACTTTGCTTGGAGCTCTTAAATATTACCTGTGTGTTAATGATAATTATATTAACCGATACTCCTTTCTCCAATTCAATTTGTTTCTTAATATTAAATTAATAAAAACTTAATAATAGTTAGATAAATACCTAGTTAAGTTATCATTAATAATAATACTCTATTCGTGATCTTATCTCTTTTAACTTTTATATGTGACTTTTATCACTGAGACTTCTTTTGCATCCAGACAGTATAATTATTCATACTATTGTGGACAGTTTCAACTGCAACAGTCACTTTTTGGTTGTAAGTAATTATCGTGTAATTATGGAGATTTTATTTCGTTGATGTTTTTCAAAGATACAACTATGGCTGTGTTGCTTGTAGACCCCATAGAGAGTCTCTCCTCGAGGCTACAGATGAAAAGAGACGTGACAGCTGCCTTCTGACAGGACCTCCTCGAGGCAACAGCACCGCTCTGCATATATTTGAATTTTGTACGTGTGCAAGTCTACGTAAATATATGTACACTGGTTTGCTTTGAAAGTATTTGAACACTTATCATACAAAATTTTTACATTTATATTCTAATACTTTATTGTGAATGCACACTTGTAGTGTGAGAGCATATGGAGTGATCTGTTAATGAGCGAATTTCTTGTATCTAACAGTAAGTGAATATTAATTTACCAATTATTTAATTAATTAAAAGTGTTTTTTATTATCGAAGAGAAACTCTTTACAATAAGTTGTATGAAACAATATACATAGTAGACTCTCAATATATTATCATATTCTCACTATTTAAACTTGGAATGTATATGTTACAAAGTTGTTAATTGGAATTCAAAATTAAATGTATATGAAAGTTACAAGACATTTATTGCAAGCATATATCATATTTAGTAATAAAGTAGTATACAATATAGACAGTCATTTCAAGTATGTAATAATTCACTACTTAACTACACTTTTAGTGTCTGAAAATTTAGTCCTTAAAAAACTTCAGAAAGCTTGGGAATCTACTTACAGACTGTAATATGTTTTATCAAAACTAAAATAATCTTAAAACAGTTACGAGTGAAAAAGGCTTAGTACATACATCCATAACTTATATATCTTATTAAAATTTTTAAAAATCATAAAAATCTTAAAAATATTGATACTGATTGAGAAAAGACTCGATATTTATTATTCAACTCTATTACTTAATTATTATTCATTATATTAATTTTAATTCAACTTCAATGATCAAAATCATTGCCCAGTCGGTAGCATGAACGATTCAATTACGATGTTACGGTAGCATCTTTCGTACCTACCGGCGAGTAAAAGAAAGAAACGGGTGGAAATGCTATTTGCGTGATTAACGGAAACAGTCCATTACTTGCATCGACTCGTATAATTGTCGCTTTACCGCAGAATCGATTTGCTCGCGCCTAACGCTCCTTTCTCTGTTCTCTATTCGATTTCTCAACGTCATTACGCTCCTCCATTTACGCCTGGGAGGCCGCCATTCAAGACTATAAAATTTTTATGCTGCCTCGCTGGGCGTATATTTTTTTATTAAGCCCGGTTTTGCGAACGCTCGCAACGCTGCAATCGCAGCCGCGAAATCGCGAATTCGCCAATTTTATCAATATAAATATTCAACAGGGATCAGGGGATGGTATTGCGAGTCGTAAATTGTTTAATATTAATTAAGAGTCGCGTCCGATATCATTGGCGTGTTGGGAATGGCACCTTTATATGGATATGTTGCTAACAAAGTAACAAATTAGCAATTCAAATATCTAGAAATAATTTGATCTTCTACCAAGAAGCTTAATCCTTATAAATATAATAAAGAATCATATGGATTGTTAATTCGTTGTTTGTATCTATCACTTCTTGTCGTTGCTATTACTACTATTAGGAAAGTATTAATAACAATCGAAAGTTTGTAGATTTTGTACGTAAAAAGGAGAAAGATAAATAGAATTTTATTAAGTAATATCACGAAGATAAAATATTCTTTAAAAACAAAATTTTTTCAACGTATCAAGAACGTGATTCGTTACGGCCTTTATAATAATGATTTATAAATTACGAAAATTTCCCAGTAAATTGACTTCGATCATACAATTACCAAGCTATAATACATGATTAGTAACGCTTATAACACGCTGTACGCTTCATACTGGTTATTAGCCTGGCAATTTTGCACTCGTTTAATTTAATCACTTTTTAGAACGAGAGAAACTTAACACTGCAGAGTTTTCGATACATTTTTAATACACTGTTTTACGAGTATTAAACAAACCTACAATCTTGCTACAGTTTGAAACATTGAATTTTATCGGTGTAAATCGATTATACCAGAAATAATGATGGCTCAATTACAAGATTTATGATGCTCATTTTTATCGAATATTATATCATATTTACATATTATATTGTAACAAAATCACTGCTTCTTGGTAATATAGTGTGTAAATCAACTAAGAAAATTTTTCTTATGATTATTCCATTATTCTAACTTATTTACTATTATTATAAATAGTAGTATTATAAATCTATATATGAAATACTAGTAGTATTATAAATCTATATATAAAATACTACTACTATTATAAATCATATATATATATAAAATCATAAGTAGTAATTATCGTAAAAATAAACTCATAAGTAGAATAATAGAACGTGTGCATTATTCTACTTATGAATTTATTTTTATGATAATTACCACTTATGATTTTATTTGTATCATTATATTTGGTCGAGTTGTACGTAACAATATGTAAATTTCCCAAGAGTGTACAAGTTTAGTGTGATGAATTTTGTCATCTTCTGAATTATTGAAAGATATACAATTCTCACATTTGTTTATTTTGTTTGAAACTTGAGATACGTATTTTTCAACGTTATAAAGATACAAAATAGTTGAAAGTGCGTAGTAGGTGCATAGTTGATCATAAATTATCCCTTCTGCATTTTAACGAATAATACGGTTCTTTGTTTTTCAAGATCTCAATTCGTTTTCAACTTTTATTCATTTGATTTTAATATAAATTGATAAAACTGATCGGGTGATTTTCATGTTCTACCATCTTATTACGTTGCTTAGAATTGAACGATGAGGAAATAATCTTCGGGGGAGGGAAAAGTCCGTAGTAGAAAAGGAAATAGTCGACGTTATACGGAACTCTCGAGATATTTCCGTAATTCGACTTGGAACTTCCGAATTTCAAACTAGCTTTCGATCGTCAGGGGACGATCTCATGATTCGGAGAGATTAAGAGTTCGAGAATAAAGTGCATCGGGAAGATTCTTTGAGACGAACGAATTATAAGAATAAGTAATTGAATAAGAGAAGTAGAACGTTTCACCATAATAAGATAATGTATCTATGCTTTCCCGAATATTTTAAAATTTAACATAGAAATGCTGGATGGAAATAATGATTAATTTTATACGTAAGTATTATTTGTGAATAATTTTAAATTAAAACTGTAATTAGAATGTGCCGTGAATTTAAACGATTGCTGCCTTGTAAATTGTTTTGATATCGATATAATTACATAAATTGTTTTGATTATTAAATAATTTAAATTTAAACAATTGTTGCCTTGTAAATTGTTTTGATATCGATATAATTATTATATAAATTGTTTTTGACATTGATATAATTATTACTTAAACGATTTATTATGAATATCTTGTAAATTGAAACAATTATTACTCGAATCATTTATTTACAAGTATTTGTTGAAAATCATCGTTTCCCAATTTTGCAATTATTGAAATTATTTAATAATTGAAGTTCTATGATGCGCACATAATTTCCAAAAATTAACAAGAAAAATTATAATTGTTGACGAGTAATCTCGTTAT